GGGGGCCTGAGGCCATACGGGTTTTATTTATATATAAATATATATAATTTTTCTTCCTAGTATTTCCCCCACAAGTGCTGGGTCTGCATTAGTTGCAATAGGAATTGACCAACTAGCTTGTTGGCCAAGATTGACATCATGAAAGAGTGACGGCCCAAAATTACCCACTGGGCATTTCATGCCTAAGGCAGAACTAAAACTCATAGTCTTTTGGTTTCTAGCCCCTGGTACCTTAACCTCTAGAACAATCTGCCTCTTGCATTGTCTTTATGTTTCTATATTTTATTTTATTTTCTTATTTTTTGAGCTGTTCATTGTTTTGTGATGGTGGTGGGATACAAATTTGACTAATAAAATAAATAATGCAGATGTGAGTAATCTGCAGCCTTTTTAGAAGTTGCTGAACTGCAATTCCCGGCAGCCGGTAATACAAGAATGCTGAGAGCTACGGTATAATACAATGAAATTCTCCGATTTAATCTGTGTCTACATAAAAGTATTTAGAAGTTTTTGGGGAGAGGGGAAAGAAAAGGAGGGGGAAATGAAGCTTCCTATGCAGAAACATAGGAGGGATGTTTCCCCCAGTAAGCCTGGGCTTTCTAAAGGATTCTGCACTATTCCCAACCACCCCAAGCCACCCTCTGTCTATTAGAGATAGCTAGCGAGAGCTAGACAGACAGACAGACAGACAGACAGACAGATTGATTTGACATCTGTGGACAAATGAGGGTTCTTTCCAGAATTCCTAGAAGTTTGGAACTTAATGGACATGAAGCAAAGCTAGCTTTGTTGTTTGTGAGTGTGTATATAGATAGGCACTTCTATTTTTGAGATTTAAGCCATGTGGATTCTATGAATATTTCTTGATCTAGCCTAATCCCTTTGGATTTTGTCATCCCATCTGTCATGGTATTTTTGGTTATTGCATGCTTCCTGGAATGATGTTGATAGGGAAGGGAAGGGAGAGTGAATTAATAATTTCCAGGTACTTGGAGAGGGAATGTTTACTATGGTCCTGATTTCTGGTAGTGTCAGTGCTTGTTATGCATCTATTTACCCCTATCTATTTTTCTGCAGTGGGATCCTTTTCATAGTTTTTCTAATTGTCACGTAGCTCAAGCCTCATTCTACACCAGGCCAGAAAGATATTAATATATATGTCATATATAGGTGACATATGCTAAATATGAATTATTCAGAATGCTCTTAACATCATTCTTGCTCAGTTTACACATGTGACTTAAAATAACCAAGCAAAACATTGTGCAAGCGGATTCAAGAATTTTAAAATACGAATTTAAGAAACATAAAAACATTTTATCAGCTGAACTTGATTTAAAATGTCATTGTTAAACCATTTTTTCTTTTTGATCTTCAATTGCTATCACTTTGAAATTTTATCCTCTATATTTTTAAATATATCTTTTTTCAGTTGCATAGACTATAAAATAGAAATGTTGCTGAAGTACTGAGAAACATTTTGTTTGTCTGGTGATAAAATTATTGCCAATGCCTTAGCCCTGGATATGGAAACAAAGTTGTTTTGCGAGACTGCCACAATGGAGAAGGTAAACCAGCCAGTCTGCCTCCTTGCTTGGTTGCCTGAATTATTTTTACAAAGAACCCAAGGAGGCAGACATCTTTGGGTAAAAATAATGCAGGCAAGCAAGCAAGCAAGCAGGCAGGCTGGTTGGTTTATCTTCTTCTATTTTCCCCACAGCAACAACCTTGTGAGGTGGGCTGGGCTGAGAGAGCCCAAACTCACCCAGCTTCTGTCAATGCAGTCAATCCAAAGTAAATAATTCCGTTTACTTATCAAGGAGTCCTTGCATTTTCTTCTATTAAAAGTATAAATGTGAATTATTTTGTTCCCTAGGATTAGTTCAAAAAATATTTTTGTAGTTCTTTTGTAAACCTTGGACATTCCATATCAGCCAAAAATCATATTATTTTAACAGAGCATCTGACTTTTCACTTTTGACTAACCACAGTCTCTTCAGAAAGCACTAAAGTACTATTAGATATCTTTCATAACTGTAGTGTGCGCTAATTGCTCCCGTTCCTGTAATCAGTTTGGGTTCACCTGTCATACTGCAAGGTTTTTGGGTTGAATAAAGATCAACTCAGCCATTATGGAGTATCTAAAATGCTCATGTCTGCTTGATTGTTTGTAACATTCAATTGAAGTGTTGCATCACAGTGCAACAATTTTTCAATCCATGTACTGTATCTCAAATGGGTCTAAAATCAGAGGGATACTTGACTCCCATGGGACTGAAATTTGGCAAACTTATAGCTGCTTCAGTGCTGCCACGCAACCACAATCAGGCCGCAATCATGTAATCATAATTTCTAGCACTCCTTGCCAGCCTTACAAGGAAAGTCAATGGGAAAGCCGGCAGGAAGTCAGAAATTGCTCCTGCTCCCACAGCTTCCCCTATCCCCCCAGTCATCCTTTTTGTCTATTTAGATAAGGAAGTATCTATGAAGTGATGATACAGTTGGTCATGGGTTACCTAGTAAAACTTTATTTTTGGCTTAGTATGATGTTTGGTTCATCCAACAGTGGTTTCCATCATGCTGCGGTTAAGCAAACCACAGGTCAGTGCTGCATGTGAACAAAGCTTAAGACAAGAATGTTTTTCATGGCACAGTTATCCATATATGCTTATTTGATGAATTAGGTAATACTTCTCCCAATGAAAACTGGCAGAAAACAGCAAAGTAGTTTTTCTGCCTAGCAATTGTTTTTTTTTAATACTGAGCATGCCACTCCAATTGGAGGGAGAAGCTGGAATCTAAAGTGCCCCACAGTGGAAGAGGGCAGAGGAGTAGCTGGGTGGGAAGGGGATGAGATGACTTTTTTATAGCAATAGCGCTTAGACTTATATACCACTTCACACTTTCACAGTACTTTACAGCCCTCTCTAAGTGATTGACAGGGTCAGCACATCGCCCCCAATAATGTGGGTCCTCATTTTACCAACCTCGGAAGGATGGAAGGCTGAGTCAGCCCTGAGCTGGTGAGAATTGAACTTCTGGTAGTCGGCAGAATTAGCCTGCAATACTGCATTCTCACCACTGTGCCATCACAGCTCTTATCAGAAAGGGGGAAAAGTGATTTGGAAGACGAATAAACATGGTTCCCTGTATCTGTTGGTATCTCCTTAAAGAAGCCACAGTACAGTAGCTGCATGGTCCTAGGAAAATACACATTTGACTTAATGTGGAGATGGTGATTTGGTATGACAACTCTGTTGCACCCTGTCAGCCTGTCCTTGACTCAAATTTATTTTTCTGACTACTGTGTGAGCCCAGAACAAGTGTCCTTTCTGTTTCATTTCCAAATAACTGTATATTCCAGTACACCCCTTTGCGAGATAATTGTTTAAAGAGAAGTCATGCATCTTCCTTGGTCAACATGTAACTAGGGGCAACACCACCATATTCTAGTCATGAAAATTAGCCAAAATCCTCTTCTTCATTGAAAGAATCAAATTCTAAATCAAATTCTCTTTCATCAGATTAAATGAAAACTGGCAGAAAACAGCAAAGTAATTAAAAAAACAATGAAAGTAGTTTTATTCTGACAGTTCAGAATCATAAATTAACTGCTTATTAATTCATTTCAAACTTTAAACTTAAAGTTTACTGATATAAAAATCTTGTTTTGTGGAGCCCAACCTCCCCAAAGGAGGTTCACTGAGGACTGAGTCCCATGGGATTATTATGGATACATTAAGGAACTCTTAGTCTTTTCTATTGAAGCAATTATTTGAATGGTCTTCCTTCTGTTTTCAAAAAAACATTGCCAATAAAACCACATGCCTTATGAAATCGCACTTAAGTCAAGCTCAATTCAAATACTTTTTCCTGCTTAGCTTTTTTTAAAATTAGATTATAGTTATTTTACAGTAATGGTTTATTATTGCTTTTTCAATATCTTCCTTTATAAACAGTAATGAAGATGCAAAGTAAAAAAAAAATCTTTTAAGCAGACAAACTCCAAACGCTTGTTTATTTAATACATTTAAACAAACATTTAAAGATTTAGGAATATTATTACAAACTGCAAAGGGTGTTTTTGTATTACAACTCACCTTCCAGGAGACGTCAGTGGCACTTTGTCCTACCTACATTCATTGCTGCTGTTGTCAGCATCAACCTTTGCGCTGCATTGGTCAACGTTCCCCAGATAAAGGGCCAGCGTTTCATGCAAAGGGGAGAATCCTCTTGCTTTCTAACTCTTCCTTTTAACAAGGAGATACTCAAATGTGACCATCCGTCTTCCTATGAGGAAGCTATCTTTGAGCTGCATAAGGTGATCTGGCTGTGACTCTGTGAACTTAAGAAGGAAAGGGAACAAACAGCCTCGGGTGTCTTCGCTTTGGTACGGTTCCTTGAGGATTGATTGGCGGGAGAAGCTGGAATCAAATTCCCCTACCTCCTTTTTTGCTGGCCTCCCTTTCTTTCAACTTCGTTCTCAGGCCCGACGCAGCAAGAGCTCCAGCCGTCCTCCATCCGCCTCTGAGGGGAGCCCAGCCTGCTAGCTGGTTTCAGCTGTTCAGGCTAGCTTGCCTTTGCCACGGGAGACAGAACACAGAGAGGACATTCCAGAAGCCTGTTTTCCTGCAGCTGAGGAGACAACATTCATGGACCTCCTTTTTGATTCGGATATGTCACTGTTGTCAGGGCAACTGTTAATGGTGGCGTATCATATTTTCTTCTCTTGGGCTCTGTGCTGAATATTTCAGTAAGCGGCAGAAAGAAGATACCAGGAGGGAAAAGGTGCTGCATCAGGAAGGAAAGAAGCCCTGGGATCTGACTGAACAAGTTAAGGCTCCAAAGGGAGGAAGAGAACAACAAGGAGGGGGAGGAGGAGGAGGAGGAGGAGGCATTCCAACCAATGGACTTTTAATTAAGTCCCCCTTTTTTTTTGTGGTCAAGGTACAAGAAATTGTTGGGTCCCATCTGCCAAGTGCATGTTGGTATCTCTCTGCTGTTTGCATTCTGCTGGGCCCTCACAGGATATGTTACAAATGAATCCACTGCTTTGCAGCTAGCCGGAATTAACAGATTGTAAAGGGGGGGGGGGGAAGGGACCGGCAATAATGCCAGGTTCAGCAGCTGCTCTCCGGCAAGAGTGGCTGAAGAAGCCAGGTGTGAGGCCAAATACACCTGTTCTGTTTACCATTAATGAGGAGGACGAGCATCAAAAGAGCAACCATTCCAAGAGATTAAAAGGTATGCATTATTTTAACTTGGCAAGTTTGGGTGATCTATAGACTACATCCAGCATTGCAATGGAAGAGTACATCATGTTGCTATTCCCGGACCTTTCTTTTTTGCACTGGCTAACCATATTAAAGGTAGGCCCCTGGCTTGTTAACTGTTGCAAGTTGCTTCTTGTCTTGATATTCATCACATTAATAAGCAGTCTTTTAGTCATGCAGCTTGTTAAAAGGAACACTGTTAAACGAATGATGAAATTTGTTTCTCTGTAGGAATAAGTACTTTTTTTTATTCTTTTGGCATATATTAGTAAAATGAAGGCATTAACATGGAAAAGCTGGCCTTTGAGAAAAGAGAAATTTGTTCCCAATTGTTATATCTATTGTTTTCTATGCATGAATAAATATACTTAAATAATTTGAATATTCATAAAGATCCATGTGCTGGCAAAACCGCTTGGCTTCCTAGTTACTTTATGTCAGGATTCTTGACAAAATCTTGTTTCTGTAGCAATCCTGGTCTCAGTTTATTCAAGTTGTTAAAAGTTTAAGATTACTAAAACTTTAGATTACTTTGCTATCAGTTTTTCACCTTTTTCACCTTTGATTTGTAAATTGAACAAATTGAACAAATGAAGCTGACGAGTATTTTTTCTTTCTTTTGCATCCTTGGTTGTGATAAATAACAGATTCTATAAACGTGAGATGGAGATGGGACACAGGCATCAGTTTTTGGGTAGTATTTGTGAAAGAGGAAAACACCATAAACTTCAATAGCTTTGTGGACTTAGTGGTTATTTACTTTTCCTCTTCATTCAACCAGACAACTAATAGGAGTGTTTGACTGGTTAATATTTACCGATTTAGATAAGTGGTCATGGTTATTTGAAAGTGACAGTTTATTTCATTCAGATCCTGCTCTGAATCACTAACTTCTTTAAAACATCTGTGTTAAAATATTTTAACATATTTTAATTTAGTTTAATTATTCCAATTTAAATATGGAAAAAGGGGTGAAAATCCTGAAGAAACTTAAGTAATGATTATTTGAAACAGTTCTCTTCTTTGTCTCTTGCTGTCTCACCCACATCTATAATATGATTAGGAAACAACCAGCAGCGTTTATATTTTAGTCTGTTTCCTCACCATGTTAGAATCCTACAATATTGTAAATCTAGTCTGTGCAGGTACTGTGGGAAATGGAGATCCAGTGGGCTACTTAGCAACAACGTATTGGGATTTTGTTTGGATTTAGCACTTTCTAATTTCTAGAATACAGATTCTCTCCTGGACAAATTCCCTATCGGAGTGTCCATTAGGCACTCAAGTTTATACGGCAAGATGTCCTGGAAAGGATAAATAATTGATTGTTGCTAATTATAAAGATGAGGGCACAAAAATGTTGCAAGGTAGAACATATCATTCCTCTTGTGTCCTGGGGGAAAGAAAGAGAGATTTATCAAGTTTCATTTGAATATCCAGTGTGCTTCATAATCTCATTTGTGTTGCTGCAGTATCTTTGGGGTCTGCATATTTTTACTGTAGTTGCATAAAAGCGTGCTTCATTATTTTAGGTCAAAACTAAAATTTAATTCATTTTGCACCAAAGTTTCAGTTTACTGGACTTGCCATTTTGTGATTTGTCACTTTTTATATCTATTTTAAATGCCTAGTAATCCATTCAGTTTTCAGGCCCTCCCTTAAATAAGTCAACTTTAGGATTGATGGTAGTAGTTTTCAACCCCTAAAGTTGATCACTGGTATATTATTTCTGAAGTCAGTAAGTAGCATACATGTGCTAAGCTTGTATTCTTGGCAAGAATTTGAATAAGCTAGTCACAAGCTTGTTTTGGCTAAGAGACTTTTTATATGATGAAAGTTGGAGCAAAATGTTAAAAAGGGCTTACTTTCTTAATATTTCTCTGGAAGTTAATAAATGCAGCTTGTATTTTAGAATGCTGTGGCTCCATAATATGTAAGGAATATTTATTTATTTTAAATGCCATTATTTGTGACCACAAATATTGACATTTTGTTCTCCCAAAACTGCTCTGAATTCAGAGCTACTAAGCCCTGGAAAAAACAGCTTTCTAATATTGAAAACAGCAAATAAAATGCAGGATGACTTCCCCATGAGACAGTGTACCTTCATTTCTATATTGCTACCTCCATCTGGATGGCCAGAATAATGTTTATCATACCAAATACATATTTGTTTTCCAGGCATGTTTTTAATTTTTCCAAGGGTCTTTCTGTAAATTGCAACATGCCAAACATGTGCAAATAACAACATACTTAGCATGAAATACAGCTTAATAACAAGCTCATGCTTAGCTTTTGTCATTCTTAAAAAATGTTGCTGTTTTGAAATGGATTGTAAAGAAATAGACAGATTAAGCATGAATAAGGCTGGATAAGATCTGTATGAAAACAATAATATTGAATTTATTTTTGTTTTTTCTTTGAGATTTTTTAGCATAAATATCTCTTTATTCTTTGTTTGGTGCATGGCAGGGATGTCTATTATGACCACAAACACTTTAATATAATGCTTGCATGATAATGAAGATGTTTCCAGCCAAAATCTTCATTCTGTAGTTCAAAAAAGATGAGAGATATTTATTTGAATAATAGCTGTACGTTTTTCAGGTTTCATTGTTGTGAAAATATGAAGGGGAATATGTGTGATTGTTGCTCATCTTATGAAGCCTGATAGCTGTTTTTACTGCTCATCAGTTTTTGCATAAGTGCACTCTGGAGGATTGGATTCAGAGATTGGGAGAACAATTGTAGCTGTGCTCATTCAGTAAAATTTGCTCCCAAATTCATGTGTAAAAAGATATAAACTAAAGAGCTTTACTCATGAAAAATAACTAAGAGAATCTTCTAGATACTGAGAAAGATATGGGGCATCTTATGAATAGATATAGAACAAGCCATGGAATGATTGTCTCTTCAGATTGAAATGACCAGTTGCTCAGAAAGTGGAAAGTTGGAAGCCCAGTGCATCTGGAGGGCACTAAATGGGAAAGGCCTATTTTTCATGTTTTTCACTTGACTATCCTTGTTCCAATTCAGATATGGATTATGATTGTTAGTGCAGACTTTGATGGTATTATTGGAAGAGTGCCCAACTGTGCTGGCACCTTTCTTTAACCTCTGAAGGGGTTTAGATATCTCTTTTCACAATCAGTTCTTATTCTGCCCTGATACACCCATTCAGATAGCATTAACTGAATTACTCATAAAGCTCTTACTGTACCTTTCTATTCTTTAAAACTTCTCCTTCCTTTCACAACAAGGCAAAACTTGTCTTTCTAGTATGGTGTTAGTGAATTGAAAGCTGCCAAAGCTTTACTTAGCAGAAAACACAGGGCTGTTCCTAATAGCCATTTCATGTCACAGGTAATTCGGGTGCCACAGCCCACAAAAGTGGGCAGTGACAAATGGTTGATGTTTTCACTTTCCCCTCCTAACTGATAATAACTAAATTACTGTACCTTATAGATGCTCATTATTATGAAGGATGCCTTTGCTCTGGACCTATCTGGCAAAGCCTTTGAATACCTTTTGTTTAGCAGGTACCTTGGCCTTTATGGCTGCTGGAAGCCAAAGGAAGGCTTGGACAGACATCTTTTAGTAGAAGTGGTTTTAGAATTTTGCAAAGGATAATTTGGGATTAATTAGAGAGAAAGTGGTGTCAGTGCACCTTAAAAGAAAAGCAGTAGCATGTAAAATTCATGCAGTGTGTATAATTTACACATGTAACTACAATTAAATCAGTGGATGTACACTTTGAACCATAGTTCTAAAAGGAACATTTTAAAATGGTGAAGACAGATATTACAATTTAAGGAAGTTAAAAATGGTGTGACAGCATATAATAACAGCTGCGAGATTGGTGTATGCCCCAAACTGGAAGAATGAAGATACCCCTACAGAAAGTGAAATAATAAGGAAAATATTAGTGCAGAGATGGACAGACTAACTTTAGAAATCAAATATAAGGGTGAGAGAGGGTATTATGAAGGCTGGAATAAAGTGTATCAATGGCTAGAGTCAAGGAAAAAGAAAGAAAGGGTTGACGCTTTATAGGAATGAAAGCTGAAGTTTTGTAAACTAAAGAGAATGGAATATAATGGACAAATATGAGATGATACAAATGCATGAATATAAAAGATGGTTGTAAATATGTATATAACTGTAGATAACTGTAGATAAATGTAAAATAATATGCATCTAGCACTATACTAATAATATAAGGGAAAAAGGAAATTAACTGTTGTATGGCCAAAATGATGACCAAGAAAGTCGCGCTGTGTTCAATTGTTTTTAATTCAATAAAATAAAAAAAAATAGTGTGACAGTTACGTCTCAACCTTTTAAACACAGTTGTAGAGATAATCCTCAATTTACAACAGTGACTGTCTTTCAAGTTGCAATGGCATTGAAAAAAAGCATAAAGTTTTCATCCGTATGACCTTTGCAGCATCCCATGGTCACAAGATCAAAATTCAGATGCTTGGCATCTCGTTCATGTTTATGACAGTTGCAGTGTCCTGAGGTCATGTGATCAACTTATGAAACCTTCTGACAAGCAAAGCCAATGGGGAAGCCAGATTCACTTAACAACCATGTTGCTAAGTTAACAACTGCAATGATTCACTTAACAACCATGGCAAGAAAAGCCAAAAATGGGGCCAACTCGCTTAACAAATGTTTCACTTAGCAGCATGACTTTTGGGCTCTATTATGGTCAAAACTTGAGGATTACCTGCATTACCTTTAGACCAAACTCTGGAAAAAAAATGGCTTGAACTCAAAATAAGCCAACCCTACACCCTCCAAATACTGTACAGATGCAAGCATATATATACATACCCAACCCACACCTACCCACACTGTTTTTGTAGTTGGGTTAAAATATATGTGGATTTATAAATGGTAAAAGAAAGGATGGATATAAAACACAGAAGACAGGCATGCATGTGCTGTTTGAAGAAAAAGAAAACA